CGAGGCATCTTGTGGAGGATTGTGAGGTAGCTGTTTGTCATCTCAAAGAACTTTCCTACTCCAGTTTACGACTTTGTTTTTACTTGAAAAATAACTTCATGTTAGACTTCTATTTTATTTCAAATTCTAATATTTACATTAGAGGCTTGTGCATGTGACAACCTGGTTTTGGGGATTGAATTAATATGACTTGGTTTCATAATAGAAATTGTTATTGGATTGTCATTTACTTCCGCACTTTGTTAGGTATTGGGTTTTAGGCTGACTTGTCCTTGTGGGAAAAGACGAGTGCCATCATGTCCATTTTTGGGTCGTGACAACTTTGTAAGCTAAATCTAATTGAATGAAGCATATTTTCCTTTTTTATTCTCAGCATATAATATTTTCTAAATATACGTATCTTTTATCAAGACATGCATGTATAATTCTTAAAAAATTCCTAAGTTAAGATCAATCCCTAATTTTGAGAAGTGTAATGGATATAAATTAAGGTTGTAGACAACGAAATTTTATTGATAAATCCATCTTAAATTTGGATTAGATCATAAAGAATAAGGGTGGAAAAATGGAAGATAGAAAGATGACTAATTATTCTCTTTTGAAATTTATAACTTACTTATATTTGGTATTTTTTTTACCTTTTTGTTCCATAATTTTCTCTTTTCTTTTACTAATTATTTATATTCTTTCATATTAATCAAAATAAAATAAATACATGACTAATACCATAGCAAACAAAAATAATGACATTTTTAATAAATAATGAAACTAATTCTAAGGAGTCCGACTAAAAGCTAAAATATTATTTTTTTGAAAATGTTTCCCTTTTATTGGGTGAATGTAGTTTCTTCTTAATAAATAAGGAAATTTATACATCTCTAATTTTGGCCTTTTACCCAAATTCAATTATAAAATCCCAAAGTAAATGACCAGCCCATCCCTGACAAGCCCTCAACATTCTCCATATATTCATGTCCCTTACGATTAGGGTTTCCTCATCCGCCGCTCCATTTAGCTCCCCTTTCCTTTAACCTAATAACCTGAAATGCTCCCGCCTTGGATGAATCAAAACTTTACCTCCTTATCTAGGTCATTAACAATGTTGCTTTAATCTTGGATCGAACTTGTTCTTCATTTAATCTGAGATCTCAATTCAGGTTAAAGGTATATCTTTTCTCTTTATCAGATTTTTTTTCATGTTAGATGTTTAAATTTAATTCCTTTTCAGCTTGTTGGTTTCTTTACTAGTGATTATAATTATGATTTTTCTTTAAAGGAAACGCTTTTTGTGATGTCATTTATTAATTTTGCGTTTTTCATTTTCTGGTTGTTGTTTATTTTCTTTTTTCTTTGTACTTTTTTTTGTTTTACTTGTAGTTTCATTATGATTATGGTTAAAATTTGTAATTTATTATATATGAAGTTTATCATATGGGTGTATGAAAATCATCAGTGCCGTAAAAAATCATAATTTAACTTTTGAATTGTTTTAAATGACTTCTATTTAGACCTGATATGAATTTGTCAAGCTTGATTGCATTATCATGATGTTAAGTGAATTTAGGAATTTTTTTTAATCTTCAACTTTTATACCTTTCCATTTCAACTGAATTCACATAGAAAATCCTAAATTACTTCAAATAAATTTTTATATGCTATATGGTCGGTTCATTGAGCTTGTTCAAGCATTTATTTGATTGTAACACTTGTTGATTTAAGGCTGCGTTGATGAAAGAACTAATTTGAGAATTAGGGCTCTAAATTTTGTGTCATTAAAGACTTTCAAACTTAAATATATTTGATTTTGTATAAAATAACTTTGAATTAATTGGTGCATACAAATTAAATTTATTTATATCTTTGATGATATGTTCAAGACTTGATACAGATAATATTTATTCTTGTAGGTATACCAATTAAATTTTTTACCTCGAACTTACAGACGACAATATCTTCAAATTTCTTATAGAAATTTCGATTTAGTTAGTCGTTTAAATAGATGGACAAATGACAATCATAGTTGAAGGAGCTTGTCATGAGGCAAATGATTAAAAATTTTCAGGATCCGAACTCGAGGTAATTGTATATTTATTGATATTAATCTTCCATTGTCATTGCTACAGAATGAGCACAGCCATATTTTTTTCGATATGGTTCGTCTCTTTTGTTACCATTTAAATTCAATTAGTATGTATTAATTCATTTAAAATCAATCTTATGATTTAATTAGTATTTCCAAGTAGTAATTCATTTAAAATCAATCTTATGACAATTATATGCATGAGTGAGTACTCCATTTGTTGTTTCACTTATGATATTAATTCAAATATATGTATTGACTATCTTTGGGTGATCTTATAATTATTGTGAACTAGTTTGAATTTGAAAATTTAGGACTAGTTTTAATTAGGGTATTTCTTAAATTGATATTGATTTTATTTGAAGTTAGAAATTAGTAATTGAAGTGTTTTGACTGCAAGATAGATGTTTGAATTTCATGAATATATTGACCATGATTTTTTTTCTTTTGTATTAGTAATTGATCAAGTGTTTTTACTTTTGAGTGTAAGTGAATTGTGTAAATATTATTTAGTTGGGAATTGATGAAGTGATTTTCAAGTTAGAGAATTTAAACTTGTATTACAACTTAATTAGAACTTATAACTTAATATAATTTGAATTATTATAAGTTAAACTTAATTAGGAATGTGAACTTGATGAATATAGTATGTCTGCACCACATGACCAAATTAGGATTAAACATAATAATAGACTTGAAGATTATAATAGCGTTGAACATGATAGGATTGACGAAATGATCAATGACGCGTTGAAGGTTCAAGGTGGAATGGAACCCGAACAATATTTTGATGTAGCTCCTTATGAAGAAGGAAGGCGCTTATATGATCACATATAAGAGTCTAGTCATCCTCTATGTGAAGGGAATATGAACACAATAGGGTTCATGAAATGATCAATGGTGCTTATAAGGTTCAAGGTGGGATGGAACCCGAACAATATTTTGATGAAGCTCCTAATGAAGAAGGAAGACGCTTGTATGATCACATAGAAGAGTCTAGTTGTCCTCTATGTGAAGGGAGTCCGCATTCTGCTTTGTTGATTGTTGTTAGATTGATGTATATGATCACATAGAAGAGTCTAGTCATCCTCTATGTGAAGTGAGTCCGCATTTTTATCTAAGAGTTGTCAATTGACTCTCTTACGACAAGTATATATTTTCCCCATGGATCTTGCAGGTACAAGAATCAACAAAATATTTAGAAATTATTGTCTACCATGCCAAGTTCCAAGTTGCGAAAAGTTGAGAATCAGTGTGATCTACATAAACACATAGTCCAAGTTATTTCAGGTTAACTAACAAAATTCAACCTTGATTTAGCTCGGATTCCAACCATGTCAAACAAATTTTCCCTTGAGATATCATTAGAAAATACGTTCAATTAAAAGAGTATGCATGGACAAAAAGTTACATTTCTCAGTCGCGGACTATTTTGAACATCAGAAGTTGAAGGACTACAGAAGAAATAATTACCTAATACTAGCATATGCTTTATTATGCCGCTTGGACTCTATAAAAATGTCAATGGGTGTGTGTCGTGTTCTCTCAAAAAGTAGCATATTTTCAAACAATACGACACATTTGCAGAATCAAAAGTTAAAAAATCTGTAAAACTTAGCATATGATTACTTAAAACGTAAAGTGACTTTCAACTAATTAAGTAGATGTTTAAGTTGAGTAGCTTTCCCAGAATGAAGAGGACCAATTCAACTTCCTGCTTATCTTCCTTTATCTTATATCATAATTGAATTTTTCATTATAGTTTGTCTAAAAGTAAAATCCATAGGACAACTACTAATACATGCGCCTCAGTCCCAAGAAAGTTAGGATCATGACTAAAACATATAAAGTTAGGATCGTGACTAAAACATATACTAGATTTCAATTGTACCAGTTGGTATATATTAAGTAGATTTTTCTAAAAGAAGAGAATGGCCTGGATGTGTATCTCCGTAATTCCGATCAACAACATGGCTAAATCTGGATGAATCTTGAAAACGATCCACAATAGCATTAAAATGCGACCTTCCTCTTCTTTCTCAACCTCTAGCTCTAACTCTACCTCTACTTCATCCCCTTCAAGTACTAATACTCAAGGTATTGTGTTGATTAGAAATTTGGTCATCGTCAACAAGTATTGTAGTATCTTTGATGGATGAAATTGATTTCTGCTTTCTCCTTGAACTTGTAGCAGCAACAACAAGAGGGGGAATGTTATCAAGTTCAAAGAGAAAGTAGAAATAAATATCTTCCATTGCAGATACTACACTACTTGTTGATGACAATCAAGTTTTGAATCAACACAACATCTCAAGTAGTAGTACTCAAAGGGCATGAGGTAGAGGTAGTGGTAGAGGTAGAGGTGAGGGAGAGGAAGAAGAGGAAGTTTGCAAAATAATTCTAATGTTTATCATTTTCAAGATCCATCCAGAGTTAGCAATGTTGTTGGTCAACATCCAGGAAGTTTAACTATTCCTCTTCTTTTTGGGCAAAGCTACTAAAAATAATTAACAGGTACAATTGAAATATACTTTATGGATTAATCACGATCCTAACTTATTTGGGACCGAGGCGCGTGTAATAGTAGTTGTTCAATGGATTGTTTTTTTGAAGAAAGTATAATGAAAAATGCAATAATGATTGACACAATTAGATAAAGGAAGACCAGCCAGGAAGTTCAAGTGCTCCTCTTCTTTCAGGAAAAGCTACTCAACTTAAACAACATGTAATTAGTTAATTTAAATCTACTTTACGTTTTAAGTAATCATATTCTATGTTGTACAATATTTTAACTTTTGATGTTCCGCATGTGTTGTATCTCCAAAATTACATTAGTTTCTAAAAACACAACACACCCATTGACATTTTTATATAGTCTGGGCAGCATAATTGAGTCATATGCTAGTACTAGCAAAATTACCCGTGCTTTATGTCGAAAATATTACGGAATTTATAAAATAATACTTAAAATTTATGGATCATTAAAACTAAAACACTAAATTATCTTACATACAAGATTATGCCGTAATAATCATTAATAATGTAAGGAAAATAAAAATTATTGCATCTTATCATTTATTCTTAATAGCATAAGCATAAAATAATGACTGTAAAACACATACCAGGATCCGTACTGTAAGAAGTGGTGTCTGTGAGCCACTCAACACAAGAAAAATACACAAATATTTCATTGTAAAGAAGAAAGAGGAGGTTCAAAATTTTCGTTGTTCTAAAATGAGAGAAATCCCTCTATATATTGACAACAAAGGGTAGTTTGAAAAAATATTTATTGTAGTCTTTGATATGCTCAAACTTACTTCTC